ACACATGGTGACCAGTTGTCAAGAGGTGTTTGGCGATAGATAATGACGGACTCCGATTCGTTCTGTGGGGCGTTCCATTTTGTTGCGCCATCATTTGTTCGACCGAATATGGCAAGTGCTCAGCCACCCTCTGAGCCAACCGACGGTTAGTCTTGTCTATGTAAACATCATACCAACTGCAGGTGAACTGATGAACCACATGAGAGGCCGAACTAGCCGAAGGGTAGCTGACGGTCTTGAAGAACCAGTTTTCGGGTTAGTGTGTATGAGGCGCAACTTGGCAGTCGTGTATGTGCGATTTAGGGCGGACCGGAGCTTGTGTCCGATATCATTTGCCGCATGGTCTCCCTTGAACGGCAGAACCAGATACACAGCATTTTTCTCTGCCGTTTGCACCGGAAGTTTCTTCATGGAGGGTCTGCAGTGCACCTGGATAAAATTTTCGGGATAACCATTTGATACTAAGGTCTTATACAGAAACTCCTTCAGCTTCCAGCAATTCCGAACTACAAATTCGTCTAGCCTTGAAGAGCGTTTTCACTAGACCGCGTTTGTATGCAAACTAGAAAAGTGAAGATACTGTCCGCTTGATGAGGATATCCAAAAATGGCAGGCAGCCATGTTGTTCTATCTCATGGGGCACAGATAAGTTGGGATGAATTGAATCCAGTGGTTAACAGTTGCGTAAAATGTTCGCTGCTGGTGAATACCAATATGTCATCCACGTACCGTTTGTACAGTTTCGCCTCACCAATACTGGCAGAAAATTGTCTTTCAATCAAGCCAAGAAAGATATCGGCCAAAACCGGTCGCAATGGGCTGCTCATTGCGACCCCGTCTATCTGCTTGTATGCCGTCCTCTCAAACTCAAACCGTACATTTTCTGTGCAGAGTAGAATCATATCTCTTAAATATTCCACAGCGAGACCCATATGTATAAGTAGACTCAGAATGAAATGACACAAACCGTCAACTGTTTCGTGAACAGGCACGTTTGCGAATAGTGAGTCCATGTCTATAGAGTACATGAACTGGGAGTCCAGTGAGGATTGTTCCAGCGTCTCCGCTAGTTCAAAAGAGTCTTTCAGGCAGTGCGTAGTCAGGAGTTTACGTACTGGACCTAAGGGTTTCGCCAGCCACTGAGCAACGTTATGTTAGGGCAATTAGTTCATGCAAATAATCGGACGTAGTGGGTTACCTGGTTTGTGCAACTTGGGAGCGTCCCTCAGATGGTGGCTGAGCACTTGCCATATTCGGTCGAACAAATGATGGCGCAACAAAACGGAACGCCCCACAGAACGAATCGGAGTCCGTCATCATCTATCGCCAAACACCTCTTGACAACTGGTCACCATGTGTACCCGAATAATACGTTCAGGGTGTTATTACTAACAGGAACCCGATAATGATGACAATCAGTGAAATGTTGATAACCAGCGCTTATCAACCTGTGTTATGTGCACAGAAACTGTTGAGGCAATCAATCAGATTGCCTTGGTCTTGATTTTGACAGTTTATTTGGTGTGCCAATTTTTTCCCATGTATATATTTGTGCCTGTGTTTCTGCTTGTATTATGTTTGCGACAGATGAGAACAATCGAAATGTTGACATATCGCAATCTATGTCTTCTCTCTGCTTTGATGAAGTGGACCAAATGTTTTAGGTGGCTATCCGCCTACCATCCTCCACTTCGTTATATAGTAACCCCAGGAAAATGCCAAGATGTGGGGGACATGACGCGCCGGAAACTGTACCTGATCCACTTCCCTATTTTGAAGCCGCTGCTGCACATTCGCGCACCAAGCAGCACACGCTGACACCGGTACAAACTAGTGGTACCAGAATTAAAGCATATCGCTCACTCTCTATGCTTCGGGCGTCGAGTGGTGAAATATTGGAACAAATTGCCGGAGAACCTAGTCGAGGCGAAATCGGTGTCGGAATTTAGGGGATTCATTGACACCCACTTTTCAAACTACAGATATAGGGAGTGTATCGCACCCGTATAAGATGTACTGTAGCTGCAATATGCTACCACCGCACAGGAATCAGTGACGTGATTCCGCGCATTTGTTCGATCCACCTACGACGGCGCAATACAGATTTTTATCTCCCCACTATCTATTCTCAGTATTCAGTACTCTCGGATTCAATGGCATCTTCTTTGGACAGAAATCGTAGTACCATATGGCTCTTTTTCCTCTTTGATAGATCCTTACTATTGAAGCATTTGCTCGAAAATAACATGCCCCCACACGTATGTAATGTAATGAGTGACTACATTGTAAATCGTATGAACTTCAGGCACCTATGACTCACGCAATCCCAGCTAATGCACTGAGCTATTTCAGTCCTTTTCCGTTATATGTCTGCCCATACCATATAGTTCCAGCAAATGTAAATACGCAGATGACGTGGACCGAGGGTGTGTAATTCCAGTACTTGAGGAATCTTCGAAGCCCCAACTAGAAGCCACTGATATCATAATACTCAAATCAGAGGATAAATTCGTAGGTTTTAACCAACCTTGTGTGCATCCACCAAACTGACCGGAGCCGCATGAGTAATTTTGAGGCCTAGTCCAACTTCGATGCAAGATGGTCTTTGATCAATGTTGAATGAGCTCGACAGCAGGACATTTTACACTATAACCTATGGATCGCAGCTATTAAGCGGACTCTATAAGAGGAGATGAAACGACAAGTGATCGGCATCCGTTGTTCATGACACTAGGGATTTAAATATTCTGTGAAATTTGAGGAGTAATAACTAAGAGACGTAATCCATCTTTGTTTTACTGGTTCGGACGACACCAGTTGAGGATAATGAGGTACACCAATCAACAACATCGGTAACAGTTTCTATATCAGTAGTTATTATTAGTGCAAACTTCAAATCTTTCTAATGCATTCAACCTAGCTAACACTACAAAAATTTGTTTGGGAACTGTGATGGTAAGACGCCACAATGAGCATGCCGGTTGCCTATAGGACAGCCAAGCGTAACGAATTCGGGCCAACAGTCTTAAAGCTGGTCGATCGCTGCAGAGGCGAAGAGAAGCTCCAGTACTGACCGCGTTAGCAATAGCATGGAGAGGTGCTCTACATTCGTGAGTGGTTCTCATCGATGCAAGATATAAAAAAGCTTGTGTACGATGAATAATGGATTTCTGGTCGAGTACCAGGCTTTGGTTTTTGATTCCCAGAGGGTCATTACGATATGGTGGCGGAGATACTGACGTAACAAACCCCGCTCGCTTTTGATGGACAGTCGTTTATCGCATTGCCGCATTCTCTACAAATGACAGAAAGTACAGTACCGGATAATGGAAGGGCGTGGAAAGCAAATTGGATGGATCTCACAAGGCTGATCGAGTTAGGTGAATATCCGAGATCATTTCAATTAGCCATGTTCAGATACTGCATCGGCCAAGACGAGAGGCGGATATAAGAAGCCTGGAACTTCTAGGAGCATAACCAAGAACCGGATGTTACGGAAAGAATCGGCAGAATTGGTGATTATTGTGAAGGCTGATCGAACCTTTACGCTCGATGCTGGCGATCGACCAAGATTAGCTAACTTGATAGTGAAAGTCGGTAAGCAATGCAAGAGGTTTCAGTAAATAATAGGTAGGATCGCGAAGAGCAGGGATGGGCTATTGCGACATCACCAATTCAAGGACAACCAGTGCCACAACAAGCTGATTCTGCAGCCACCTTAAATTTGAAACCCGAGAGAATTTTGACTAGTTGACTGCGAAACCCTATTCGAAAGAGATTACAACGGAGAAAGACGCATCACAAACACAGACCAAGATAGCATTAATCATCAGCCCCTAGAGCAGGGGTGCCCAAAGTCCGGCTCGCGTTAACATTTAAACTAGCCCGCGAACTCATGACGAAATAATAAATTCCGGCTTGGATGAATTTCGTACGTGTAATTTTTGCTATTATCTTAATGTCATACATTTACCTCACAAAAGGTGGCCCTCCTTGCAAAAAACTTGGACACCCCGAGATCTAGAGAGAAAGTATGTTTTGAACCGATACTTAGAGTTGAAGGACGCCAGAATAGAAGAGTAGCTGAAAGACAGAAAAAAGGAAAGCTATAGAATGTGGCTAAAAGGCGATACGGTGGACAGTCTATGCAGCCTGACGACCAACCGCCTCAGCAGAACAAGTCAACTACGATCGCAGACCAGGTCCGAAAGCTTTTCTGCAGTGAAAGACAATACGAAACCTGCAAAACCAGAACAAAGAAGAAAAAGAAAAATGAGGGATGTGGTGGTAGCTGACGAGTAAACTGCAATAATTCTAGGGCGACCTCTTGCTTGCTCGCGTCCAGAGGTCCTAGTCGATGACACCGAGTAGACAATTGATCTGAAATGACGAAAACGGAGCTCAAGTGGATGCCACTAAAGGAACGATCGGATAAAAGATGCCAATTTGTGAGTGGCTCTGATTGATGCGACGTATAAAATGGGCAGGTAATTGTTTAGACAATAGAATGTTGATAGAGATTCAGACGTGGTTTTTTGAATCAAGTCGAAAACTAGAACAACCATCCGTTTTGAGTGACCTCGCTGTACAAACTGAGCAGACCACACAGTCAAATTGTCTCGTACGGTCGAGGGATAAACCGTCCACTTATTTATTCCATATGTTCAAAATTCATGACCATAGATAATTCGAAACATGCGACGTTATGGCCAGCTTTCAAATGTTAAAGCAGCATGACTAAGCGGAGGTGATGCAATCAACGATAAATGTCAAAGGAAGAATGAGGAGGAAAGCCATAATGAAGGAACAGACCGATAGCAGAGGTGCCGTGCGACGCCTTACGGCGTAAAGCATTTTTCTCTGTACACCAAGTGAAACCAGTGAATATGCCGCTGTCAAACAACGTCAGCTGTTATGCAAAGTGGAATAAAGTGGACGAGTGAGAAAAACCAATGAGAGAGAAAGAAAGTGTAGTGGCAAGTAGCGTATGGCGCACGTACCCGAACAGAATGCCGTAGCATGTTGCGTAAAGCTCTTCTCCCTTGGCCGGATTTTGCTTCTGAACCATTAATAAGAAACAGCAAAGTAACAACTCATTAGGAAAAACAGAGGAACGATTAATTACATGGAGGTGATATGAGTGAAGCTAATAACAGGGGCTATCCAGTAGAACGCAGCAAATACAGAGACACAACAACTGTGCAACTACGTCGCAATATACAAAAAATTTAGACATTAAAGCTTGGAGGTTGCAGTTTAAAGGACTCTTCTACACTCAGTAGAAGAGATTTAATTCAAAAGTGATCGCACTGAGGACAAAATTGATTGGCTGGCGATAAAGGATAAAGCGAAAAAAGTGATGGTGAATGTAACTGCGTTTATCGAAGCAGTCAATAATCAAAAGCCGCGGTTTACCGTATTTCGTCACATGGTAAATGTTAGTCATAATACTGCACATAAAATCTGTTCTATAAGTATACATCTGAAATATGTGATCCGCGAACATGAAAACGAATTAAGTTCAAAATCATGTTTGTAAAGCGTGTCGGAATAATGGGATGACGTGCATCGGACTGCAAGGAATCACGTCGTCGTGGTCGTAAGGACTAGTTATAGCAAATCAAAAGAACAACTGGGTAGAAAAAAGTTGAAACTCTACAGGACAGTGGAAAAATATGTCAAAACAAAAGCACAATCGCAATTTAAGCGCGAAGGATGTATCCAGTCCAGTAGTATAAACATGAGAAGCATAATCTATTACACAAGACACGCCGTTTTCAGCATGATCACGTTTTAGAGTTTACGATTTACAGGTTAACAAAGTGCAACTGAGTGTTTCGGACCCTATTCGTCTGTAAAATCACGTTAATTGCTTGACCAAGTTCTTGTGCTGAAGGTGCTGTGGTACGGAAAATCCCGTTTAATTTTGAGCCCACCTAACAGCGAATGAACGATACAGATAAGTTGAAAAGATGTTCGCTGCGATTTAACGAATGATCGTTTCATCAACCACACTTTACAGTGAGAGACTGTGTACACGGGCCATAAACCGCTAGTGTCTATCACAAGTAAACCACTACATAGCATCCTACGTCTGCAATGTAAGCTTATCCGACTTCAGAAGTACGATGTAGATATCGTGAACACGCCAGGTATATATACATTAATTGCGGACGCTATGTTGAGAGCGCATCAGCCCGCGGCCGAACACGATCAGAGAGCGGTGAGTACGGTGTAGCATCTGACAGTAACAGAGCAACGTTCATAGGAGGTGATGCGACACAGAAGTAGAAGCCACAGGAACGGGCTATGAGAGACGTAAGTACGAAAAAGTTGCGAGAGGCGAAACGCTAGATCCCAACAGAACTGGCACCCTAGTGCAACTTCGAAGATGAACTCGATCGGTGGTGGCCAGATATTGAAGGAAAATCGTGTTCTGATTAAAATGTCGACTGCAGGGAGATGTTGCAACACGCTCATCGTGCCCACCAAGGAGTTAGCTACAGCGTTAGCAGAGCAAGAGAACAGATGTTTTGGCTATGGATAACGAAGCAAATCCGGGATAATGTGTCGAAATGCGCAGCTAGCCGTTCCCATGTTCGCCAGACCAAAGAGCCAGTGATACTACATGATGTGACAGATTGACCATGATGGAAAGCGATGTTAGACTTGTTCGGTAAAAACGGGAAAGATTACTTAAACATGGTTGATTACTGCAGTTTATACTTAAGACTTGATCTACTTCACCGTTACCAAGGAAGGCATGTTAAACAAACTCAGGTATCAGTTTGCCCGGCACGGGGTACTGGAAGCAATGGGACCGAAATTCGCTAGTGCTAGTTTCCAGGCCGTTGTATCCAAGTGAGAGTTGATGCACCTATAATCATCGTCATCATCAACAGCAGTACATCAGCCATTTGAACTGATGCTTCGCTGCCATACAACCATGAGGACCTATGAAATAAAGAATAAGAAGAAGGAGAGAAGGGGGACTTACCTGAAAACCTTAATGCCCCAAGCAAACATTCAGGATCAAGGCGCCTACACCTTGTGTAGACAACATACCGTCACAAACAGCTGGCTATCGTGCAAAGATAAAGCGGCATCGGCGAGACAGCTTCCTTGCGGCTTTCACTGCCACGCGTCATAATCAGCCATTACCCCGCAGAAAACTCAGCAGCAAACACACTTTAAACAGGCAATCCAATTAAAAGACGGCAGCAGACGCGCCATAGGTGTCTACTGCGAGCCATTTCCTATAAAGTCTTGAGCCAAGCACAAGGCGAGTCACGTGTACTCCAGCCCGGAAGACGAGACGGACCAACGGTACGCAGTTTGGTCATCAGTGTCTTCATTTCCGGTGCCAAGTCAACTTCTGTAAACCGCGAGCCTTGCGCCACCCTACATCTGGCAGACTAAACAAGGCACCGATAAACTATCGCGTGACAGAGACCATCAAATGGAAAGTAATAAAGCAAGCCAAGATAACGCTGTCAAAAGCCAGAGCTATTGGAGAGGACCCATACCTGATGTTGTTGGAGCGTCGCACTACTCCTTCGTCGGATACTAGTCTAAGTCCAATGCAGTGCAAATAGTACGGAAGGACGAGAACTGATTTCCTCATCGGCACGCCCCTACATGCCGTTTTGTATACCACGTGAACAACATCGAAGACGTTTTCAGCAAGGGACAAGTAGTTAAAAACGGTACTATGACCGCGGATCTTGAACTGACATCAGGAGAGGAAATGTGGGCTCAACCGATACCCGGAGTCTACGTACAATGAAAGTAAGGTGTGGTGATTGAGTGAGTCGGAAAAAGATCATACGAAGTCAAATCTGGAGGAAAGATTATAAGCAGGAACCGGGTTCAAAAGAGAAGAATGGCGAATTAAAGGTGAGGTATTCAGCAGCGATCGGCGATTGAATCACGACAGCACGGTCAAGGAAGACAACAAGAAGTGCCAAAACATACGCTGAGCGTGAAGAGGCGCAGAGAGAAGAGCCCAAAAAATTAGGATGCAATGTGATTAGCGTACGGGATAGAGCAGACATTCCAGCGAGACCCAAAGGCTACTGAGCGGAAGCAAACGGATTCGGCTATTGGCCACGCGAAGATTGCTGATTGGATGATGGCTCCTGGCTGTTGCTTAACTTCAGTAAGAAGACGGCTATTGATAGTAGTGCGTCATTAGTAATAGTAGCGATTGGGCAATACACAAAAATGGTTATGCGAACGAGGTACGCTGCATTTTCCTGTTGCAAGTTTTCTACCAAAAAAACCGTTTGTTCCGGAAGGACCGAGTTTTACAACATTACCCGCCAATTCAACGAGGATAAAGTATGCGTAGTTTTACTAAACTTGATACTTAAAGTACTATATCGTGCAGTGGCATTGTCATAAACCTGGCACTTAGGAATTAGACCTCTCATCGATTCCACCTGACGAGTTCCACAGCTGCGTCCATCATTGTCTTTGCGGAATAACATCTACTGTCAAGTGAAATCTTAGCGAGTTCCGCGCCCAGTGCTGTTTCTTCCTTAATGTTCACGACAGTCTTTGTGAACTCATTAGGTGGATAATTCTGAAGTCTTTCTTACAAGGCGTTAATAGATCTTGCTGGCAGCCATCTAAGCGTACAAGTGGTTAATATGAACAAATGACGACAGTGACAACGTCTGCTTGCATTCCACTTGCAGGGAGCTTGTGAACCACACACCAAGCGCTTCCGGAATTTGTCTCGCAGTGATCTACCGTCTACCATGGGCTGGGTGTTTGAGAACGAGACGTGGAGCGGTTGCGTTCCGCCAGTCGATTAAAGTGGCGTAACGCACCCAGGGAAACATGCCCACCTCGTGTGGAATAGATCAACATTATCAACAACAGTACATCAGCTAGTTGAACTGGTGCTTCGCTGTTATACAACCATAATACCAACGGAACGAAGAATAACAAGGAAAGAAGAGGAACTTACATGAAAATCTTGATGCTATAAGCAAAACTTTCAAGGTCAAGGAGTATACCCCTTGACAACAACATGCCGTCCCGAATAGCTGGTTATCGTGCAAATAATAGACGGCATGAGCGAAACAGCTTCCTTGCGGCTTCCACTGCCCCGCGTCATAACCAGCAATTACACTGCACATAACACGTCACCAAGGACAAGCTAAACAGAGTCCGACTAGGACAGGACAACAGACGCGCCAATGGTGTCGACTGCGAGCCATGTTCTGTTTCAAGCCAAGCACAAAGCGAGTCACCTGGACTCCAGCCTGGAGGACGGGACGGACCGATGGCATCAACTTTGGTCGTCGTTGACTTTGTTCCCAGCTGCCAAGTCAAAGTTTGTCCACCTCGAGTCTTGCCTCATCCTACATCTGGCAAACAAAACAATGCCCCCTCCGTAAGCGGTGACTGGGCACACGTAGTATGTGCCCAAGCCAACGCGATTTATCCAGTGGTACCTGTTGTTTCAAGTAACTAGACAGAGTGTCATGGCGTGGCACAGGCCTATGCACATCATCGTTGGGGACACGCTGGCGATATCCGACACCAGCGATGATCAAAGACTTGAAGGCGCCTCAGATCACCAGACCGCAGGGGCCAACTCTCACTCCCATAGAGTAGGACGGCCCCCACGGTGGTCTTGTAAACATGGCCTTTCAGACGAAGGGATACCCTCTTCCATCGGAAAAGGTATCGCAGATTCAAAAAGACAGTACTGGCTTTTGTAATACGTGAACAGACCTCGGTAGCTATACAAACATAGCTGCTGATACACCTGCCAAGGTAAGTGAATTAATTAACCAATTCGTTCTTCGCTATCAAGGATCAAGAGGTCATCAAGTTGCTGGTGGTCCTGCAGCAACACTTTGCACTTTGAAGACGCGATACGCACACCAAATAATGGGATAACCCCAGAGGCTATTCAGGGTTGATTACGCCGCCCAACATCGTTAAACAGCAAGACAATATCGTCCGCATAATCAACATCAACTAGCCTTTCACCAGGCAGCACCCGCATCGTGAGATTCCACAAGGGACTCCAGTATGGAGTCC